TTTTAACTTTATCAAATAATGAGATAAGAATTTCACCAATTGCACATATTTAAGAATGACTTTGAATTTTATCAAACCTGATGACATAACGTAAAAATGAGATCATTTGAAAATATTTTTGGTGAATTTTTGCTAATTATCTCATATTATTCCGATGAAAAAAATGAAGGTATCGATGGAATGTTTTGCTAATTCCTATTTAAGAAAAAGATGCAAAAAAGATAGGAGAAAAATCGAATTTCGAACTTGTCACTGATTGGAACATATTATAAGAGTGCCAAAATTTAAACATTTTATTGTTAATTAAAATGAAATCTTAATTTTTTCCTATTTAAATTGAATTTCATCAATAATGAACCATTGTTTTTTAGCACGCTAAAAGTAGTAATTAATTAATGCATGCAATAAATTTATATCTCTGTATCATTTTTAAAAAAAAAATAAAAATAAAAATCTGTTTTCTTTTGTTTTTTTATGATCCATTTAAAACATCACGTATCGGATCAACGAGATTGAACTCCGTCCTTTGTTTCGCATTTATGAAAAGTATCCTAAAATAACAAAAACAACGTTAACTACCTTTTCAATAAAATCACCTAAACTTTCAGCGATATTAATCAATTTTTCATTATTTCGTCCTGATTAAATTATGGCTTTAAGAAGCATAATTCCATATAATTATTCATTTCCATTTGATTGCTGCATTTTCAAATCATAAACATTCTCACAAATTGATCAATGTATTTTAGGTCTAGTCAATGCCAGACAAGAAACAAGAAGAACCTGAAATGCCAATGGTACTAACGAAGACGAGTGATAGTGTAGAACTGGAATGAAATTTTTTATTAAATTTTTGAATTTGATGATTCTGAATTAAGGTGAATAAAATGGGAATAACTTAACCTTTCAAAATAACCCATGATAGTAATCGATACTTCAGTATCTTTTCACTCCACTCTAATTAAATTCTCTATAATTTCTATTCACAAATAAAGCTGTAATAAAAGTAACATAAAATTATCAGAAATGATTTGCAATAACAAAAGCAAACTATGACTGAAATGTTAAATTGAAAAGAAAAAAACAAAATTCTATAATGCTTTCATGAATCAACCAATAGATCATATTCATAATGTACAATTTTTTTTCAAATGCCCAAAAATTATATTTTACAGTTTCGGAATTACATTTTACAACTCAAAACTTACGTGTGATTCCATGGAAAATAAATGCAATAAACAAGATTTTACTGTGAAATATAATTCAAAATGACCACATTTATATCGGTTATATAAGCGAAATTGTAAAAATATTCGTATTGTTTCAATTATATATTACAGTGGACATTCATTTTTAGGGAGGAATTTATCAATATAATTATACGAAACTTTGCAATGAATTGCAAAAAGTATGCAATGAAATTATAGTTGTGATGGAAAATAAACCTTCCAGATTAATATTTGTACTAATTTAATTTTAAAATATTTTTCTAATTTTTTCTGCAGTTTATATATATGTATTGTTTGAAAATATGGGAAAAGCAATTGACGAAAAAAGAAAATGTGAGATACTATCACTGAAAAGGCAATGGATAAAATATGCGTGAAAAAAGAACTTGATTGAAAAACCTGATTTTTTCAGAATTTAAATAATATGAATTTTTTTCAATCTGTTTAAATTTTTTCAGTATTTAAAATTATGAAAACTGGAATTTAAAGAATTACCTGAAATTATCCGTATTGTTTACTTTGTTGCTTCAAAAGATCTTTTGTATATTATCGTTGATGCAAACATTCAAATCATTTTAATAATTAATTTAAATGAACACTAATATATCCAAAAGTTTTGCTCGTAAAATAAATAACATATGCATTTATTCAATTAGGATTCAAAATGTGTAAGTGAGAAGTGCTTTGATAAAGATTATGGGTTTTTTATTTTTAAATTAAAGCTTGCCGTTTGTTGAAATTTATTTTGTTAAAAGTTAGATTTTAGAATGGAATTTCTGCAGCAGATTAGCATGTAATATTTATAATAATTTTTTAGCAAAACCATAAATTTAGTTTTAAATTTTCATTTCGATTCTTTTATCATTTGCAGAATGTAATTTTGAAATATTTTGCACATACGACGTTTACTCTATACTCTGAAACTTTGCTTTAAAAATTTTCTATTTTGAGTTCAATTTATATGGGCTTTTTCATTTTGAATGAAATAGGATTTATTGGTAAAACGTTTTGGCCAGTAGTGAAATTAATTCCAAATTAGTTATAGTTTCATTCCATTCATCAGTTTATATTAGAATATTACACTGTTTTCGAGAACTATGTAAAATTTTTCTCCCAAACAGTTAATCAGTCGAGTATCTCCCTTCCTAAAATATTTATTTTATACACCAGACGTTGTGCAAAACTGGTCGGATGATGAATATTTGTTTTTCTTTTCTTATTTATATTTCATTTTTCAATGTTAGTAATTTTAATGAACAAATTCCACATACTGTATTTGTTTGTAAATAATTTTTTTCTTTTGAATATGACAAAAATTTAGCAATATAACAAAGGAAATTTCATACAAAATTTATGCTAAAAAAATCATTGATTTTACTAACAGTATGGTAGATGTGATCGTACCTTTCTGTGTAATAATGATTGATTAAATAATTAGCAAATTGAACTGTAATGAATAGCTGTATCATTTGTAATCTTCTTTTGAACTTTTTATTTACAACCAGTATATCTTAAAAACGATGAATAGTTTGGAAATTGTATTTAAAAAAGAGAAAACACACACAATTGTTTCTGATTATTCGCAGTTAATTATTTAAATGATATAAACATATTAAATTTGGACAGACTTGTAGTAAATTTTTTATATAATTCATTTTCATGAACTTATTTTCATGAACTATGTGCAAAATATGAAGAGTAATTTTTTTTTCAATCAAATTATACATTCAAAGCATATCGCCTTCCAAAAACTTCCACCACAATCAATCAGATGATAGGATTACAGGAAGCGAAGAGAAGGGAAATGAGAGAATTTGTTTCAACGACCATTCATCATATTAGCATATATTTTTGTAAAGATAACTTTCAATCAAATTTCAGCTTGATGTTCTATATTTAAAATAATGGTCATCCAAACAATTAGAAATCTAATTTAATTTGTACTAATTATTAAACTTGCAGCTATATTCATATCCGAAAATTTCGATCCAAATATGCCCATAGCATTTCATAAATACGGAGTAAGAAAAAAAGACTGCTGGAACCACTTAAGTATGGCGAAGATGGAACAATTCCCACCACCACCATTTGTTACTTCTTTAAAAAAATTCGACATTCATTATTGGTGATCATCTACTGTTTGTCCTTTTAACAAATTTTTAGGTAATAAAATCATAGAAGCTACTATTTCCTGCCGAAATGTAGAACGTCGGTACAACTTCCCCATGAAGTGCCATCTCTCATTTAAATAACAGCCATCGGCATCTGGAAGTTTGTTTGCAACAAATACATCAATAAATCTACGGAAGGAAACCTTAAAAAACGCACCAATTCATTTTATTTAAAACTCAACGAAAAATGAAAAAAAGCCCTTTCATATTTATCTAATTCGATTAAAATTAATGAAGAGACATAAGCTTGAAATGAGCAAACGAAAATTTAATTCTAAGTATAAATACATTATGTAACCATATTTTATATCATTCACTCCATTAATGTATTTGTCGGGATCTCGAAGACTATAGTTGAACATAAAACCTTCAATGCTTTCAGTCCACAAACATCTCTTAATGGTAATATCTAATATTAACACAAGCGCTATAAAGAGCGAAACAGCCATATAATGCGAAACGAACGAAAACTTCCCGCAACTCGAATAATATTACATGTCTGACGAGATTGCAAATCTTATCGTAGCTTACCTCTGTCACAATGATCAAATTTAAGAGAAGTTAAAAGCAAGAATCGAGAAGTGCATAAGGAAGGGTTAACAGTTAGCAATTATAGGGAAAAAGAAAATGATTTAATTCACTTCATTCAATATTTCTCAAAAAAAAATTTGAACCACAAATGAAACGGCCCCAAAAAAAATGAAAAAATGTCGTTACATCACAGTCATCAATCACGCAGTTCACAATGAATAAGTCATGATTTCCACAACAAAAAAAAAATTCATTGAAAAGAGAATGAAAAAAGAAAGGGAACATTTTAATGAATGAATTTTTTTAATAGGTTTATGTTTATAAGTGATAACATCAATTAATTTCATGTTTGCAATTATAAAAAGAACTTGAATATACAATAGGAATGGTAAAAATCAGCATGAATCTGATGAACAAAACGAAGCGAAAGAAGCAATGTGAGGAGGAACACCACTAAAAAATCTATGCAAAAATCGTTCAATATCATAATAGTTGATAAGACGATGGTAAACTTAAAACGATGAGATGATGAGCTTATTTATTACCATGTTTGGATCGTATCTGATAATTTTAAATACATTTGGCAGTCATTTAAAATATAATAATGCACATATTAAAAATGAACTGAGAAAATATGGCTAAGCACAGTGTGTCAGATTGTTTCCACAAAATTATGATAAAATAGCTGTTTCTCTAATGAAAACTTAACCTTAAATGTCAATGTTTGAGAGTCGATGATTTATATCACACTAATTTGCCAGAATTAATAAAATTTCAGACATTCAAACTGAATCGCATTTCATCCTGATATATACTGCCTTATAGATTAAGATTATAATTTTATTATAAAATTAAATTAAGTTGTAAAATTTAAATGCTGCAGAAGAGAGCGATGAAAATGAAAGTAAGAATAAGAAGCATTTCGCAGGACAAATAATTAAATTACAAAAAAATCAACGTAGACAAACACGATTTTCTGGCATTAAATTAGAACACCTCGAAATTTTCCGAGGAACTGAAAGAAGATAAAACAAATTATATAAATATCAATTAAAACATTAACGACGAATCAAATGCCCACGTAAATACCATCGCTCAATTGGCGCTGTGATCTTTCATCGAATACCCTGCAAAAATAACTAAATGACTTAAATCATCCAAATCAGTCGATTTTCGGGACATAAACGGAAAATAATCAAATCATTAAATCCCCATTTCCTCATATTTGCCTAAAGATAGTACTCAATATCTGACACTTGTGATAAGCAGAAAAAGTGAAAGATGCTTCAAGAAAATAAAATTTAATATTATTAAGATATTTATTCAATCGATTGATATTCGTTCTATTAATTTAGAAACCTGCTTTTGAAACTATTCATGAAAGAATGTCTTACTTATAAGATTTAATGGAGTAGTCCCAAATAAAAACTTCATCATTAAAACGTGATAAATCATATCCTTCCTTTCGTAGACGATTTTTTTTAAGCTTATAAGTGCCTGTAACATATATGAATCAGCAAAATAAGTTTAGGAATTTTGAAGGCGTTATTCAATTCAATTGTTCATTCATACAATTTAACCGTCTTGTAAAGTTCCCGAAGTACCAGATATAAAATTAAGCGCAACTGGGACCTGTTCGTTCGAAATCCTTGCAAAAACGTAAAAAAACAGGAATAGCATAGGATGGAAGACTTTTCTTGAGATGTTCCGTTATTTTACATATCACATCCTAAAAATAAGCTGCTAACTTATGCAGCTGCTATTTATATTATTAAGATTAGAAATTTCACTAGTAGAAAAAAGATAACTAAAGACCAACTTGCAAAAACTCGTCCTCTGCTATAACGATGGCTGCCATACCAGCACGACCTTCTCTATCTGGAAAATTCTTTGAAAACTTAAAAGAATGAAGAGTACATTAAAAAATGACAATTCTAAACAACAAAAATATACACGAAAAATATCAAGATTTACTCGGTATTCCTACACCATAGACAGCAACATCGGTTACATATTTCAAAAGTTGTAAAATGCCCTCCACTTCTGTGGTACTGACATTTTCGCCCTTCCATCTGCAAAAATATTGCTGTGTACTTCCATGAATAATTTTAAACTGCGACATCAAAGATTTAATACCTTAATGTGTTTTCAGTAAAATTAATCGCATGGAAAACTATAACAGTGAAAGACTGAGGAAATCTATTTTCCATAAAATAAACAAGAAAACCGATATCAAATCTTGCAAAAAACGAACCTGTAAGTGTCGCCTTTTCGATCCTTGAAATACAAATATCCTAGATCGTCCCAAAAAACAATATCGCCCGATGTAAATACAGCATCACCTTTACGTAAAACATTTCTTATTATCTTCTTCCCAGTATCGTTCTCGTCCAAATACCCTTCGAAACTGCAAAATTCTCAGTAATTGAATTACATCGAAACGTGTTGCAGATATTAAAAACCCATACTAATCCATTCTTCATTAAAAGATTGCTGGAGCTTCCATGTCAAGAAATAAAATTACTTTTTCAATTAAGAAAGCAAAAATCACCTTAGTAAAGGTTCACTTTCTTTAATAACACCGACAATTTCACCAGTTTCACCAGGTTTACATGCCACACAAAACCCATCTTTTGTACGAATTAATTCACCGGTATTATCGTCAACTTTGAGTAAACGCACAGGATACAAATATTTTACAAAAGGGTGCACCGGAATAAAACCACACGAGCCGACACGATTATCTATATTCACTAAAAATGATTTGGGATTACAAACTCTCCAAAAATTTCTAAGAAGCAAACAATATATTAAGTGATTAAAGTGATTTTAAGCAATCAGCTTTTGTCAATACGGAACTGTGGGAAAACTCTAGCGGAAATTCCGTCCCCCAAAACGACTAGTCAGCTGAAGGAATATTTTAATTGCAGCAAATTTTTTTAAAAAATAAGTTCCTTTGCAAAACTCTCAAAAATTAATAAATCATAAAAATATACCAATGCTTGAGTTGCCTTCTGTACTACCATAAAATTCACCGATTTTCTGGACACCAAAGTGACTTACGAATTCGGGCCAAATTTCTGCTCGCAAACCATTGCCGAACATGAGACGTATTTTGTGTTCCTTTGCTTCCATAATCTTCTTTTGAGCTAGAAGATACCTGGAGGCAGAAGTATGCATTTCAAATCTCAAAAAAGTGGAAAAAAAATTATACTTAACCTGTTCACCAATCACCTCTACACGTATTTCTCTTTTTTCCCGCTTGAGTAATAAAAGTGTTTTGAACTGTGTTAACTTTTAAATTAGAAAAAATTATCTTCAGAAGTTCTACCTGCAAATTTCACCGATATATTGACTGACATTACAGTTATATTTGACACAATCTTTCCAAAAGTTACTCGCAGAGAATTTCTTCCTGATTACACATGTGCTACCTTGTAACACGGTCTGTCCAATACCGAGGATTCCACCAGCGCTATGATAAACCGGCATCATCACATATAAGCGATCTTTTGTAAAAATTCCAAAGGACTTGGCCACACCTATCGCCATCCAATAGTACCTAAAGAAATACGGGTTTATTTATAATATTTCGGAAATATTCACGTCATATTAGTGAAGTAATATATTATACAATTACATTATACAATTAAAAAAATTGTTTTCATAATAATGCGAAAAATGAGTTTATACTGCTTCATAATTTCACATATATCAGATTGTTGCTTTATTCAAAGTATCTTTCCAGACGGATTTATAAATACCTGGAAATGACGTATGAAAAAATTTTTCCCGTTCCGACAAGCTAATTTTCAATTAAGACATAGAAATCACTTCCACATACCGGTAATGCTTTATAAGTGCCGGTTTAGGATTTCCTGTCGTCCCTGATGTAAAGATATAACAAAGCACTGCTGAAAAATTAGGAAATATAAGAAAACAGGAGTAGCGTAATTGGAAATGAAATGATGTATAAGGGCAGATTTCGAAGATCAGTTAAATAATGAAGAAAATAGTAATAGGATAAATAAATTACATCTGAATATCAAAGGGAAGAATTACGATGGGGAAATGCAAAACTAATAGCTCATTTGTGAACCAAACATTTTTCTGCATCCTTAATTAAATTTCAAATTTCTATGAAAAATTAGGTTCATAATGTCCAAAGTTATGAAATAATATTGGGAATAACTAATCAACAAAAGGCACCTCATTTATTTGCTTTCCAACTCATAATGGAACAATATTATGAGTTAAAAGAAAACAAATGACAATATAAAAATCATTACATCTGAACGTTGGTTTTTTATGAACGACCGGTTCTTCGGCAGAAGTTAAAGAAATTTTTGTTGCCAATGATAAGATACCATTCTTAATATTACAAATGTCATCTGTGACATAAACTTTCATCTGTTTCAATTTCCCAGACGAGAATAAATCCTGCAGTGCTGAAAAAGATGAAGATTCTTATTTTGATTTGAGTTAATTTCATTTATATCCCTTCATTTATTTTTAAAATTTTCCTTTCAGTGACCAGATCTTTACAGCAGGATGTATGAAAAGCAGTTAAATAACGAAGGGAGATTAACTCAAATCAAAATAAACCAGTTATTTATAACAAAGACCATTGTTGAATACAAATCAAACGTCCATCCATTCATGACTTATATAGAAATGTTTTTGCTTTTATCAAAATAATAACAAAAAATTTTCCAAGACTGAATTCTTTGACAAACTTCATGAGCAAATAGATCCTTTTAAAAACTACTTGATATTTGTTCCTGATTTCCTTTTGAGGTATATTGTTGCTCAATTTCGCTGTGATTTTGCAATTCAGTATTCCGCTGCTGGAATGGTACTTCCTGCAGTGTAATTCTGCATCAAAATTCCCCTGACTAAAGTCAAAAACCCTTTTATGCCCCCTAATTTTATGAAAATTTTTACAAATAATGAAAACTAACTCGGAAATAGTGCACTGCTGGTGATAACAGAACTTGCTTTCGAAATATCGATTGAATAAGCGAGTGGTTCCGCTTTCAGATTTATGTTCACCCATGAAGTAACAACACCAATCTTACTTAATCCAAGCCAAATGGCAGGAAAATCAACACAATTTTCAAGAAACAATGCTATTACATCACCATTTTTGTAACCTTCTGACTGCAAAATGTTTCATTTTATCATATTTTATCATATAATAGATCCTTGATTTCTTTTCTGCATCGTAATATAAGTCATTAAAAGACTTAAAAGTGTATATATATATAT